AACACCCGCACATCACAGAGACAGGGACAGCACGCACTGCACGACCTACCTAACACCCGCACATCTCAGAGACAGGGACAGCACGCACTGCGCGACCTACCTAACACCCGCACATCTCAGAGACAGGGACAGCACGCACTGCGCGACCTACCTAATACCCGCACAACTCAGAGACAGGGACAGCACGCACTGTGCGACCTAGCTAACACCCGCACATCTCACACGCTGACACATCCAGCCGCGGTAATCAAGAGTTTCCTTACTCCCGCTGGTCACCAGTCCCCCAGGCCACACTCCTTCCCAGGAGGCTCCTCAAGGACTCACCTTGTTCCTCTCAAAGAGCTCGCTCTGGATACTCTTGAGGTCAGAGTCCAGGGCGCAGGCGGCCTGTCTGCGTTTGCGTGCCAGCTGCTCCTCCAGGTCCTCCATCTGCGCACGCAGCTTCTTGTTGTCGCGCTCCAGTGCCAGCTTCTCCGTCTCCAGACGCTCTCGCCGTCCCCACTCTGCCGCGTTCTCCGCCTGCAGTCGCTCCATCTGGGGGGGGGCAAGATCATAAAAGCTCTGTATTTAACCAGCAAGGACACAATGAAGAATTTACAAAACAGGCACGTCCATGTCTCCTTGGTCTCTAAAAGTATGATGCAAATTCAACATGGCTTTTGGCACCGCTTAAAAACATGCAGTGCACTCCTGGGCACTCAGAGCAAATCATTATCAAAAGGCAAGAATGGCAGTCAGCTATCCCACTTTGCCTCAGTATTTACTTATTTAGGCAAATTCACAATTATCTCGATGACATGTTGATGAGGATGCAACACAAAGGAATGTGGGGTAGGGGGCGCCAGAGGTACGGGGTCATCAAGGACCCGAAATGAGATGTTGGCAGAAAAGGAAGCAGGATAGCAGATTAGTGGTATGTGCAAAAAAAAAAAGGACAGAAATATCAGGTCATATTTTATTTCTGACATGAAAAAATATATTAAAAAAAACAAAAACCAAAAAGATCAGGACTTCAAGGGAGCAGTCCATATAAAGAGACATTTTCATGGATTTTCCCATAAAATGGTAATTAACAGGGTGCAAAGGAGAAACCATAAAAAGATGGGAAAACATATTTATGTTCTGTGCTTGAGGAAAAAAAAACTGAATTCTGTGGTTTCTCTCTTTATGTAGACTGGCTTGTAGTCATTGGCATCCTGGTTGGCAGACATGATCTTCACAGACTCTAATCTGACGGACAGGACCTGCTTGCGGCATGTTGCAGGCGGACAAAAACCTTGTCGAAAGCAAACAGTTTCGGAGAAGAAATTCTCAGAAACCACAAAGCAAGACTCATTATTTACTCAAAGTCTCTCACTTTAATCAAATCAACAGATTTGGCTCAAAACCATTATTACAAGACAGGTTTGTTTGCCAAGCTGTGAATGTTTGGTTTCTGCTGAAAGTGTGTGGATAGTTCATTCATTATGAAATATATTTGACTTTAACCCTGCATATTAACACAAAGTAACCCATCCATTCTCTAGAACCACTAAACCAAGCCAAACACTGGGAGCGATGCCCGTCTGTCACAGGTCACACCCACTCCTGGAAAGTTTCCCGTGTTGAACATTTAAACATTTGAAGCACGTGGACTGTGGAAAGAAACTTAAGTGACCCAAAGAAAAACAATGCAAACATCAGTCCACATACAAACCCAGGCCTGGTGTGCGGCTCAGCAGATTAAGATGCTGTGTCTGTGGTTGGGAGGTTGTTGGTTCAAATCCCATAGTCAGCAGAGTGATTTTACCATTGGGGTCATTAACCCCCAATTGCTCCAGGGGCTGGTCGTCAGTTAAATAAAATGTGTGAGGTCTCAGTGCTACTCATTCAGCCATGTAGAGAGAAATAAACATGATTTATATTTACTCAGTGATTTCATAAATGTCTACATGTGGCACAGAACAAACACCAAATCAATGAGGCAGTAATATCGAACACTTGTTTGTGCTGATAATAATGGTAAAATTGTGAACCAGTAAACTCCACAGCCAGAGACACATATCCTAAATATCACAGCTTTTATTATTATTTTTTTAATCAGTCATATTTTACAATTCAGGAATCAATGCTGGACAGAAGGAACTAGTTGCAAAAACTGCATTCATTGTCCGGCAGTAATTGGCATCGATGTATTTAATGGATAAAACGTCGCAATGCCAAAAAGAGACTGCGACTTTGATGAGGAGCAGATGGGCCCAGTCTTTTGCAGATATACGGACCCAATCCAGCCACACCAGGCCAGAAACTTCCAAAACACAGACTCAGAAAGCTGGGAATTCTTCATCTGAGAGCTTGAAAGAAATGATAACACACCTACAGACAGACAAACCGACTCACGACAACAACGGCGTATGAACACTTAAGGATCCAGACACCCTTCCCACCAGCACAGGCACGGGGCAGCACAGGCACGGGGCAGCACAGGCACGGGGCAGCACAGGCACGGGGCAGCACAGGCACGGGGAGAGCTCTGCCTGGCTTTCAACATTATCCAGAGACGCAGCCGGCCAGTAGGGAGATTAGTTGTAGGGATGGTCCCTCGTTCCCCCGGCCGCTCCGATCTGACCCAGACTCCCACACAAGCCCGGGGCCAAGTATCTCAACTTGGTGATGGACAGGATGGTTTTTCTGCCGTTGCAGGAATCGGCTCCCATAGGCATCAATGCAGGCTTCATGGTCAGAAGCCATTATGGAAAATGCCGTCCATAGGCACCAAGGGGGGGGTGATATCCATCCCCGCGCCCACACCCCTGTGGCTGACCCCCTACCCAGCCTCTTCTCTGGACATAGAACCGGCGGGGGTCATAATCCACTCGGAGCCAGAGAGCCAGGAAGCCGGAACCTCAAACCTCCCCCCCCCCCCCCCTGGCTCATTAGTTACCTACACTTCTTCTCATCAGTAGTACTTCATATAACTTCTCTTTGGTGTGGGTGGGGGGGATGCAGTTGAGTACTCCATCAGTCAGGCTGCATCGGAGCTCAGAGCTTCTGCGTTATATATCACAGCAGGATGGCTGCCGTAGTNCCCCCCCCCCCAATACCTCATTAGTTACATACACTTCCTCTGAGCAGCAGCACCTCATATATTTTCTCTTTGGTGGGGGTGGGGGGGATGCAGTTGAGTACTCCATCAGTCAGGCTGCATCGGAGCTCAGAGCTTCTGCGTTATATATCACAGCAGGATGGCTGCCGTAGTTTACAGGAAACACGCTTCAACCCCCCGCCCCTAGCACGTAATGACCAAGCAGGGAGCGGGCATCATCGCAACACGATCTCCGGAAATTACCGCACCTTTGGAACAGTGCCCGATAAATTCCGTGGGGCTCGGGATGGGAAGTGGGGAGTGGGGAGTGGGGAGTGGGGAGAGGGGAGTGGGGAGTGCAACCAGGCCTTGCACTGCGGTGATGAGTCACTCGCATAAACAACGGAAGCTGATTGGCCATTGGGCTGAAAAGGCCCGAACCGGCGAAAAGTTTACATCATGTGATCCGGTGCAACCAACACACCGCATGCGACTCCACGAAGGGCGAGGCGGTACCGTCGAACCCGAGGATAACTCAGTCCCGCGAGCCTCGGCCACTGATGTCTCTATTATCCCGCGATGACAAACGGTCTGTGGCGAGACACAGATCGTAATTAAGAACCTGACAGGCGAAGCTGGCAGGAGGAGGAGAGGAGAGCAGAGTCTATGATGGCACCATGCCAAGCGATGCGGACCAGCGAGGAGGCCGACCGGGGTCACGAGGCTCTCTGACACACACACACACACACACACACACACCTCCGCAAAAACCCAGGTGAGACAGAGTTAGTCAACTGAGTTTTAATGCAAGGCAGCCATATTCAACGGTGAAAGGTAGATTATATATGAGTGACTGACTGATAGGCTGCTGACTTTTTGTGTGGATGGGGGGGTTGTGACCCCTCCAATAATCAAAACCAGTCCTTAAATGGGTAGAGAACTCAACCCCTAAAAATGCTCAATCCTACGTTGTGGTGTGTGAGTGAGTGAGTGAGTGAGAGAGTGAGAGTGAGAGAGAGAGAGAGAGAGAGAGAGAGAGAGACAGACAGACAGACAGACAGACATGCCTAATAGTGCCTAATATATAGATGTACCTAACAAGTACCTAACAGAATTAAAAGAGCTACGAGAAAATGGTAAGCGACAAAAATCATGGGGTGTCGTACCTGGATCATGGGAAATGGCATAATGAATTTCATGAGCAAAAGTGACGTTTGACAGTCCATCAAGGTCTGACAGTGCTGGGGGGTGTTTCCAGGTGTCAGATAACCCACATGATCACTTTTATTACTGACGCGCCTTTAAAAAAGTGCACTATTCTCCTTTTGAAAGACCCTGGCAGCCCTCCCCCCGTGCTGGGCGGACAGCGGTACCCGCTGGGCCACTTCACCCGCCTTGTGAGGTCCAGCTCTGGCTTCCAGTGCTCGGGTGTGAGGTGGGGGAGGGGGCACTCACCTCGCTCCTGAGCTCTGCCAGCTTCTTGTCCATGCTGCTGCGTGCCCCCAGCTCATCCTCCAGGTCCTCTGACATGCGGCCCAGCTCGTCCTGGTGCACCTCCTTAAGGAGATTTAACTGGAGTGGTGGGGAAGGGGGTCACACAGCGTCCCAAACACCCCATAAAACACAATTTACTGCACATGATACAAGGACAGAGGAACTTGACTGGCGCTTAATGGCTTCACTACCCGAACGGTGACCTTTGACCCAGAAACAGGAGGTTAGCCGGATGTCACTGCACGCATTCTCTGCTGTCCTGCTCCAGAGACGCCTTGCTCGAACCCGCACCACTCTACCCACGTTGTGTCAACACTGTAGACTCTCAGATGAAGTGGATGAGAGCTGAATTCGGGGTCATTCCACGTGACTCGTAATCTCATATGTAATTTCACACATGGCACATTTAGCTATTTTACACGCTAATTTTCATCATTTGCATTCTGCTTAGTTAGACCAGCGTCTGGGCCTGGACGCCTTGCCTGCCTACCATTTACCCTCGAGCTGCTGATATTAAATTGGTCTGAAGGGCTAAAATAAACGTAAAAGGTTCTATTTCCGGTGAAGCTTCCAGAAGAGCCTGGCTGGCTGTTCACTCTAAGGCCATTTCTACAGGAAACCTCTCCGTTGTGTCCTGTCCCTCTGCCCTGCATTATTCTTTGCATCCTCCCGCTAAAGCGCTGGTTCCCCCTGCTGGCTGACTATACATACTACACCCCTCTGCAGCTACACAGCTGTTCTTACTTTGAAGGGAGGGGAGGGGGGAAAGGAGGGAAAAAAAAAAGTCATTTGTTTTGAAGCTGTAATCAACTCGGCTGCATCTACAGAAAATGGGCGCGTGCCAGCCTTTAATGACAGCGGAACGGGCGGGGAATCACGGCTGGCTCCGATTCCGAAGCCGCGGGGAGCCGGTGCCCAACATGCCAGCAGTACTGATTAAAGAACAGACTTGCGACTCTGACATACCTCCCATTCTGACCCAGTTTGTGTGTGAAAGGGCCAGCCTGCTACCTTCGACAGATGGAAGCCTTTTCAAACACACAAACAATGCTGCCGGGTCAGACTCCCTCCAGGTTCTGTTTTCTTGGCCTGTTTACTTAACTGGTCTGTCACATGGTCGCTGTCACATGGTCGCTGTCACATGGTCGCTGTCACATGGTCGCTGTCACATGGTCGCTGTCACATGGTCGCTGTCACATGGTATTAAACGTATTCATTTGTGAATGTGGGCAGTTGGATTCCACTGCGCTTTGTGAAGCGTCTCAGGTTCCTGGGACACCCAGGCCTGCGTTTCTGAAGCCAGTCGTCAGGGAACCCGTCATGACCTCCTACTGGGGGGGTCCCCCTCCAGGAGTCCCCAAGGACCACGCTGAGAAACACTGCCCTAGGTGTTGTGCCAGAAAGGTGAGGGATTATACCGGCTCCCCGTCTCTCGCTAACAGGCTGCAGGGCAGGTTCTCCGGTGATCGCGGCTCCCCACCTGTTTCAAGACCTCTTGCCTGGCTTTGTTCAGCTCCTCATACTTCAGTTTCCACTGACTGAGCTCAGCCTCCAGCTTCTCGATACTCTTAGTCAGAGAGTTCTTGTCCCTGCAGAGCGAGAAGGCAAGACTGAGTCAGATGTAGCAGCAGACGCCGCTGCCAGAGCGAGGCCTCGGAGTTCTTCGCCTTCTTAGGCGTTTTCATGAAAATAACAAAACACACACTTTTTACAAGGCACACTCTAGAAAATACGTGACAACAATCCGCCTCGCCCCATTCTGAACATGGCCTGAACGTGCCGTACAGCCTTCGAACTCCCCAGAACAAGCAAGTATCTCCCTCATCTTATTTACAAGAGGGGTTCCTTAAAACACTGCAAATATCTTTGTATTCATAACTGCTCTTGCTGATCTTCCATTTGCAGAGCCCTTGTCATCCTCCATACGGCCGTTTACGACACTAAATGCCGCCTAAGCGCCAGCCATAGACACCGGCAGGTTAAAACTGAGCCGAGTTAAAGTAAAATATACGTGTGGCGTCCCCAAGGCACCTCCACAACATGTAAACAACCTCTTAGCATTGTCGCCCCGCAGAGTCTAACAGGAGCAATTAGAGGTAGTAGTCTCTGAATCTCGTTAGCAGGACCCAGCAGCGATCCTCATTCATAACGAGACAACGGCGAGCGTGACTCAGAACATCTCATGGACCAATTCAGGCTGGACAGATCTGCTTGGAGGGGGCGGGGTGGAAGAGAGCAGGTCCACATTCGCCATCAGGAGACGACGAACCAGCCGCTCTTCAGCAATAATAACCCCCCAGAAGTACTGCAGGAGTCCACATTACTAAAGGGAGAGGACTCCTGGGTGGGGGAGTGCAGCATAATGTCACTCATAATGGAGGAATTTAAATGCTATACCCCGAAGCTACACCAATGTCATGACCCCCATGTACCCACCTGCCGAGCTGCGGCCCCCACCCACACAGTCACATCTATTCCCCCGTATGACAGAGAAACAGAGGGCTGGAGCTCACTGGGAATGGAAAAGCAGCAGCAGCATGTCTCACCTCCATACTAAAAGGTCCTGAGGAGTCCTGCCTGAATCGGAACTTCACTTCAATAACCCTCCTTGAGCCCTGACTTATTACTACGTCCGGCTGTCCCTCTGCTTCAGAGCAGAAAAGCCCCCGGGGCTGGAGGAACAAGCACAGCGCCCCCCCCCCACCAGCTCTGCACCAGAAGGTTTAATTTCAGCACCTCAATTTCCAAGGCTCTTCAGAACGACCATCATGCATCTGGCCAGCGAGGTTCCGGGATGGGGTGTCACCGACTGCCTCCCCCCATTATAATTATTCTGGGTGACCCGTTGGTTTAGTTTTGGGGGGGGGGGGTCTGGAAGCTTACTTTTTCCATAGAGGTCATCAGGGGCAGGATTGTGGGAAACTGGCCAGTTGTAGAGCAGGAACATACAGACATTACTAGCAGCATAATGAAATCTTGAAAGTGGCTTTTTTTACCTCTGGGCTACAGAGTCAGTTATCAGACACCCGGGGACTTTTGTAACAGCCACACTTTAATTCAATAAGCACTTTTCCTTAAAACACTCTGAGGACCCGGCTAAAAATAGGACCTCGACATGTTAATTACGCGGAGTAGATGTGAGCTGGGAGAGTCCCTCTAGTGCCCCCTGCTGGCCGGCATGCTTACTCGCGCTCCTTCAGCAGGACCTTCTGCGACTCGTCCAGGCGCAGCTGCAGCGCCGTGACCTTGCTGCTGTCCCCCTCCAGGGCGGCGATGTCATCCCACAGCAGCCGGCCGCGGTCCTGTCGGCTAGCCGTGGACCGGAGACTGCTGGTGCTACGCCCCTCCCAGGACTCGGGGGTGTCGGCTGTGGGCTGCAGGAGGCAGTCCAGGAGGTCAATGTCCTGGGGGAAGCACATCATAGATTTTATTTCTGGATGGACTTCATATAGGTCCATTGAATATTAACTAATAACTATACAATCCTCATTCCTCTACTAGCCTGATACCACTCGGTGTTCTTGATGTTGAACTTTTTGCTCATTAAATAGTCGTCTTTTTCGGGGGGAGGGGGGGGTGTACATGATTCCTCCGCTTGTCCATCTCAGACCAGGGAAACGAGCACGGCACAGACGCCTCGCACCATAGCAGAGATGGGTTGCATGTTTTACAGTGCTTTACAGTGCTTTACAGTGCTTTACAGTGCTTTACATGCCTCGAGTCCTTCACCAGCACCTATGCCTGCACTGTGCCATTTGCCTCACTTGTATGTCGCTTTGGACAGAAGCATCAGATAAATAAAATAAATGTAAATGTAAAAATATATGCCTTTAAAGCATTACTGAGTGCAAGTATATACATATAAATAAACATGCACAGGCCATTGAATTAAGCAGTAACCAGAAGTATTCACAAGTATACATTATATTTTCATTACTTTTGCTGTCATTATTGTTAAGGTTCCCATCTAACTACAACTGCCCTTCACAGCGTTTTGACCTACAAAGATCTTCCAATTTTCTTCTTCCAAAAGAAGGTATAACACAGTATAGACAAGCAGAACAGTATGTCACCACCATAAGGGTTGTAAAAAGCTGTCAACCATCAGAGGAAAACATATACATATGCCTCGATTTAATGACAAACAGCAGCCACAAAGTCTAAAAACAGGGTATATAATGTAAACCACACAGAGTAAATGTGTTGTCAGGCACTGTACATTAAACTGGGAAGCGCCACAGACTTCGACCATTTCCTGCCTGAAAACGAAACCAGTGGTCGCATATCAAAGCTGCTCTACTGAGCTACACTAATTCCCAAAGCACACCCGCCATAAGGCCCGCAATTGCTGCCAGCTATGCGCAGTTACGGATATCTACCACAAGAGGTCTCCGTATGTAAATAGAACTACTCAGCGTTAGACATGTGGAAGCACTCAGGAAAGTCTACGTTTCAAAGCGGGATCGTTGATGGGACAGGAAACAGGATCTAATTTGACCAGGGCCTCCGAATTGAATTACTCTTCTAAAAGCTGTTTATCCAGCAGAGATTTATAATATACTAGTACGTGAGCTGCATGTACGTATACATGTGTGTGTATGTGTGTATTAATATGAAAAACGTCCCTGTCTATGTTGGCACAGAAGCAGTTGCAAAGGTACAACATGCTAGGATCTCTTCCTCCAGGGTGGCCAGTTATCAAATATTCTTTTTTTTTCTCCCCAGTGAGCCATGTGTTTAACACAGTGTGTGAGTTTGACACAGTAGCTGAGCACAGGCGTTTGAAGGCACTAGCCCGGACCCCCAGCAGTAATGCACGCAGCCCTATGCAGGGTCATATCAACGTCAGTCAGCTACAATGTCCGTGACACAGTGGTAGATTCATTACGGTCTCAGCAAGGCTTGGCTGCTAGCTTTTCATACTGTCATACCTTCCAGACATTATACCACGGTATACAGTATTTTAGCGCCATTTTCAAAAGCAACATTATTCCAGAATTTTTAAAATCTTGGCATTGAAATTCACTGACTGGGGGGCTTCCCACAACACATCCTGCCAAATGTATTTCCAAGGTACTGTGTGAATGTTTCCTCGAACACAACCAAAATAAACTCCGCTTCTTTCATTCGTTTCCCATAACCACTTATCAAAATTCAGGGCTATTCGGAACCCAGAACCCATTAGCATAGGGGACCAGCTGGACTGGAAGCCAGTTTATCACAGCGCACTCGCAATGAGCAAATCAGACACCTAACTTCATGCTGTGAGACTATGATATTACTTCGCAATCCGGTCCTTGGGGAGCCACAGACAGACCACGTTTTTGCTAACTCCCAGGGAGCCAGGAGGGATCAAAAACGTGTACCGTCTGTGGGTCCCCGGGGACCGGATTGGGGAACACTGGACTACGGCAAAGGAGCGAGAGAACATGCAAACTGCACATCCCCAGCGCTGCGGGCTCCTTCTCACTCTGCTCTTTGTGAGTGAAGCAACGCTGTCACCATGCCGACCTCTTCCAGATGGAGGGAAATAGAGAAACAATATTTAGCATGTGTGACAAAAAGGAACTGCTTAAATATGTACTAATACGGACTGCATAGCTAGCAGATTGGGAGACCTGTCTGCACTCTGAACACTAGTGTTTGGAAAGAGTAAAAAGAAAAACAAAACTATTAAGTAACTGCAAAAGCCGACTACTAAGGGAAACATACGGAGTTTACTTGGCACCACAACTGAAAAAGTCATGCATTTTTCCCTTGCACATTCTGAGAACATCTAGCTCGAAACGAATCTCAGCTCACAACGTATTGCCAAAAAAGACAAATACAGCACGTAGCAAAGTACACAAAAAAGAGCAGAAAAACCTCAAACGATAACTTCAGCGGGCATGTAACATACGGTCATTAATTACATAAACTGTCACTGCTCAGATGGCAGCCAATCACAGAGAGGGGGGGGGAAACGAAGCTGCATATTAAAACTGCGAAGACAAAACTGAAGAACGGTTTGGATCGTACTCTTAAAACAAGGAGAAGAGTCAACAGGAGAGAATGTGTCATAGGTGTGAGCGACACAGCAGATTGGAAACAGGCAGAGACATTAAGGACAGATTCGGCGATCGCACAGTGATTACGCAGCCACTGCGGGGCAGGGGGGACGGATAAACACGCACGTTTGGGACGAGCTATGGGGGACTCAGGCACTTTAAAACGTGGGTCAGCAGGGGCAGCCACACCAGAGCGTCAGGCTCCAACAGAGTGGCATTGGCGGGAAGACGAACAACCCGCCACGAATTCCTGCCTATGCCTGCAGCTCCAGGTTCTCAAAAATAGCAGCCGGGATGGAGAACAGTGACCTTGACCTACAAACGGGCCGTCGGCATAGAAACAGGAACCGCTGGCCCTCTGGGATTGCCGATCTGCCGTGGGAGATCATTAGCAGGTGGAAGCATTTCAGGGATGGAATTTCATGTATCACGGCGAGATGGGCTTGCCGGGGGGGCGGGTTTGCACATTTCCTCTGCTTGTCCATCTCCGAGCAGGAACACGGACACGGCACAGATGCCTCGCACCACAGCAGAGACGGATCGCACGTTTTACAGTGTGCCGACATGATGCCGGGCCTTCCTCCCTGGATTAACGATCTCCAGCACCAGTTTGCAAACGAGATCCTCCAAAGATCCTCCAAAGGAATATAACCTGAAACACCACCTGGAAAGTGGCATAAACGTCACATGCATTCACCTGGGGGGTGGGGGGGATGCTCGAATGCACAAAATGGCACCGTCAATCAACGTAGAATAAGACCAGATTCCAGCCTAAACATTTTCACAAACACTTTTTCAGGGGAGATTGTATTGCAGCAGGCAGACAACTTAATGGCTTTAATAATGAGTGTATTTAGCAACTATAATGACAGAATGTATTATAAAGCTCTGCTACTGATGGTAATTTAATAAACGTGAACAGACAACACTTAGTGTTGTTATGCTTATTCTGACGGTTCATCCAGAACAGCGTTCTCTTCCTGCATAGTGCTAGTACCACCATGGTATGCCACACAATTTGCACAGTGTAAAACCACCTTTATGTTTTGTGATAATTTAAACTACTCCCATAATTACGCAGTGATAAAGGAAAATGTGCGTTACAATGAACTGAAGCGTTCTAGAAATCATAAAGGTAATTTTATTAAAATAATAAATAATAATAATAATATTATAAAAAAGAAGGAGATGCATCGACTTCAGATATTGTCGTCGACCCATTTTCAGCTTCAGCGTCATGGACTACGTCGAGCAGTTGCGGCAGCCCTAGAGCATATTCAGGGGCGGGGCCACAGGCGCACTGGCCCCTGCTGAAAGCTGATTGGTCCCCGGAATCCTCCTTCCCCTGTCACTCACCCATTCAAAACATATGATGGGCTACCTTGCTCTTGTCCGGTTTCTCTGCTCCCACGTCCCGCACGGGCTCCTGCTCCAGGCATCCAGGACTCTCGGCCTCCTGCTCCTTGTCCTCCAGGGGAGGAGGTGGGGAGCCAGGGTCGATGGGCGGCTCGCCGGCGCCCCCGTAGTGCTGGGCGTCGCGGCGCAGCTGCTCGTTCTCGGCGGCCAGCTCCTGGCGCTCACGCCGCACGCCCGTCAGCTCCTTGGTGAGCGTGTCCAGCCGCTGCCGCAGCTGCCGCACCTCCTCCCGCGCTCTGTTGCGCTCCGCCCGCACCTTGCTCCACTTCTCCCGCCAGTTGGCGGTGCAGTCACTCCACCAGCGCATGGTCTTCTCCATCTGGGCCGCCCGTGCCCGCACCTCCTCCAGCTCCCGCAGCCGCAGCTCCTCCCGGCCCTCCCAGTCCCCCCCGTCGCCCACACAGCCCACGGGAGACAGCAGCAGTGGGGGGCTGGAGTTGGGCGTACCCCCCACGGGGCTCGGCGTGTTGGCCATGCTGTCCGGGGACATCATCCTGTCTGAGCCCACGCCCAGGCCCAACCCGGAGAGGATGCCGGCCCCAGATTTGGCCGCTTCAGTCATGTGGGGGCTGGGGGTGTGGTTCATTGCCGCACCGATGCTTCCGGAGGAGGAAGGAAACTGTATTAGGAGTCCATAATCCTCTGCAAAGGGGATTTCCTGCAAAACATATGGGAGGGAGCAGGAAAGCGCAAGTCAAACTAAAGTACTAGAGCCAGTATCACTTTTAGAAGATACAAAGAGACAAAGAGCTCAGACTGATTAATACCACCATGAACAGAGTACAATTACATGGGCAGGGCCGCACTAATTAAGTCACACAACTTCAATTCCCTACATGAAATGTAATGTATAATTCATCTACTAAAATCAACCCAACACAATAATCTAGAATCTTTTTTTCAAGAAAAAGCAAAAGCAATGAAAACACAACACAGGAACCTGGATGAGATTAAAAGTGAGATTAAAACAACAGAGGCAGGGTTTCAAATGCATGCAAGAAAAAAAAAAAACTCAAATAAAACCTACAGTCTTTCAAAGGGGTGACATTCATGCAGCTCAGGTAACACCCAGCAGTGTCATCCTGGGACAAGGCGGCCCGTATTTCCATATTCTTGGGACCGAGGGAGACGACGTGAGGACAAATGCTTAAATAAGATGCATACGGACCCAGGGACTGATTGTACCGGACAGATACTTTCAAGGGCAGTGCCATGTGGAATTGTGGGACAGACAGACCCCACGAGTGAGACTGAGTGGCACACCTGCAGACCTACAATGCAGAAGTACTACTAATGCGTGGAATAAAACAAAAGCCTTTCGGTGCCAAGCTGGGAAAACCGGGGGCGATTCTAGATATTTTTAAAGGGGAGGGGAAGAGCAGCCAAAGATGTGTTTTGAATTGGCTGAGGGGGGATGGGGCACTCCGGCAGCCAATCAGCTTCCTGGTGCCCCCGTGGACCAGGACCTGGGGAAAACAACATGGCTAAAAAGCAAACTGGCTTCCAACCTTCGCAAAAGCAGGCAAACTGAAAGCGGGCAGCTCGTTTCAGGTCTCCAGCAGCTCCGGCCAACCAGGCTTGGTCATGTGGTTGAGGGGCGGGGCTGCTGAAACGAGAGAAAAAAATAAAGGCAAAATAAACCTGATTCAGACTGTGGAGAACTTGGCTGCAGCATTAAAATGCTATTTGCAGAACGTCATCACAAAGGCGGCAAAGGAAATGCCATTCAGACTTCAGAAGTTCTGGGATTAGAACTTCAGCTTCAAAAAGGGCAAGTAACACTGATGTGGTCACATTGAATTCCTGCAATTTTAGCAATCATGTATGTCCACTTAGTCAAGCGCTCAAAACGGAGACACGGTAGCGAGCTGCAGTGCACACAGATGTGCATACCAGTGTAAAGATGGGTCACTACAGAGCGCAGTAGATGCCATGGCAACCCTACAGCAACCATGGCAACCCTGCCTCCAGCTGTTCAGCATTTCCACTGTGATTGTGCAGACACTGCTGGGCTGTTGGGGAGTGGGGCTCCAGACATTGATATGAGATGTAGTCGTATCCCATAAGACATCACCCTTCACAAAATGAACAGACATAACGTGAATGGTTGAGAGAAGTTGAACAGAGACCGGAATCACCCCGGACGGGATATTAAATTATCAAAAAAAAAAAAAAAAAAAAAAAAAACTGAAGAAACAATGATTTAAGAGAGACTGCTTCAGTGTTATGGATTAAGAGAGATATTTAAACCCCAAACACACAGAGACACACACATTCAAAGCAGGAAACAAACTTGCAATAAGCCTCCACCCACACCGCAGATATCGACCCGGTTCTCAGTGCCTGATTTAAATCTTGCAGTACTGAAGTCTCATGGGGAATTAGCAGCCCGTATTTCCTGCTTGGGTGAGCAGCAATCTGCTTTTGATGCCAGACGCGCCGCTCCCCCAGGCTAAAGTGGATGCTCAGGATTACAGACACCTGGCATTTTTGGCACCTGGGGTGAACATTAAGGGTGAGCACAAGGTCAGACTCCACCAAGAAGGGAATCAAGCTGAAGACTTGCCCCCCACTACTGAAATGGAAACTGGGGCCCAGTCACAGTCCCCCTGGCCCCAGTCACAGTCCCCCTGGCCCCAGTCACAGTCCCCCTGGCCCCAGTCACAGTGAGCAGGAGGGAAGTTGCTGGAGTTGGTACAAGGCATTATTTTCATGATACAGATGCTCCCAACTACGCCAGTGGGGGAATCTCCTCTCAACAGTCCAGTCTGGGTCGAAGCATTGGGGTGCCTAAGAAGGTTTGGGGCCTGAAGGCACCCCAGAAAAGGGGCTCAATTTTCATACAAGCTTGCATAGGGACGAAGAAATTATGACGACAAAAAAAATAAAAACCTGTAAGCCCCTTGTTCATATGAATGTGCTTTAGCATAGTTAGCGGAGTAACAGCAACATGCCAAACCAGGGTATCAGATACACACAAAAGCAGGGTTTTTCGGGGGGAGTGAGGAGGAAAATAGATGCTGAAAAGCTCAAAAGAACAATAAGACGAGAATCTTCTGCTGAGGGGCAAAAGAAAGCTAGTGGTTTATGGTGTCAGACGAGGCCAGAAAAGAGTGAAGCAACACGTGGATTCTGGATTCTGGTAACAGCTTCAAAATAAACTGGTGCCATCACATCCAGCTCCTCTTACGCCTTGAGGGTCTTTGGGATTCAGGTTCCACCCCTGCTCATGCCGTCATAGTGCCAGACTGGGAACATTGAGAAGCATCCCATGTAAACTTTGCTGAAGACTCCACTTCGAGTGGCCCTGAAGCTCATCAATAACCACAAGAGTCCTTGGGCTTGTGGCTTTTCCCTGTACTGGAGAGCCGGGAAGAGGAGATCCATGGAGAGCAGGATGCAGCAAGCAAAGTAAGAGCAGAAGCCAAAATGAAGAATGAGGGAGATTTAAGGGGGAAAAAAATGAAAGGATTCCATCTGGATTATTCCGCATGAAAGGGGTAAAGAACTGCCTTTACCTTTGCTGCTCAACAATGTGGAGGAAGAGGGAGTTAGAAAGGCATGCAGAGGTGATTTCTGGAACTGTGGGACAACAATGAGAAGATCAGGTCAAGGACCTTCACGTCACTATTGTCATTCAGTAGCAGGCTTGGAGGGTGAACATTTAAAAATCTGCAAGCACTTCTGAGGTGAGACCTTCAGCTCTCCTTTTCTGCAATCCTCACCCAAATGTTAGAATAACAATTTTTTTTTTTTGAATGACGTCTACAAAGACCATGTCATTCAAAGCACCGTTAGCACTGTAAACACAGGAAACCAAAATCAATACTTCACCTGCCTGTTGACTGAGAATTAGGCTGACTCAGCAAAGAATGGAAAATGAATGGTCTGCCAGAGTGCTTCATAAAAAATATCTGAGTGCCTGACCAATTTACAGCCCTACTTGTAACTATGTAGGAGCCCAGAGTGAGAAAACTTGGAACGATAAAAATGTATAAACACCTGTCACACATTATAAATCTACAGTGAATGTTTTCCCTCACACCTCTCCACTCAGTTCTTCCAGTGTTTTACTCTGACAGATTTGACGCATCATAAATGCTGTAAGGTTACCCCCTCTCAGTATAGCTTAACCAGGGATCAGACACCACAGGTAAAATAGGAACAACCAGCAAACCAAGAGATGGCCAGTTAAGTAGATCAGAAAGATGGAGGCAGCGGTTCACTGTGAAGCAGGACCTACACTTTAGATGGGGGAGGGATATAATTCCATGAAATCATGTTGCCAGAAAGGAAAAGATCCATAAATCAATGGGTGTGGGGTACCTGGAACTTTCACCTAAAGACATTTTTCATGGCTAACCACTCAGCCCCCTCCCACTCCCCACAACTCCCAGCTCACCACAATGCCAATTGCCACGGACCCCTAAGGGGGACAACCGGAGACACCTCCCATCTACCACTTCCTCTCCACTTCAACGCATGCATGAACTTTACCGCTCTGAAGAGACAGCAGGCAACCGACGGCGAATCGGGCGCAACAGAACCTTCGGCCCACGCAAAAACAAGTGGGGGTCCCTTGGCTGGGGAAACTGCACGTAAACGAAAAGGAAATGTATGAGGGATACAGGCGTAGACAACATCATTTTAAGTCCTGAAAAGCAATTGTAGAAATCAGCATATTTTTTCAGTGATCCGTAAAAATGTTCACTTGGCTGAAAAGGACCTTTCTGGGTTGATTCATTAAGACAAAGTTGTGATGAATGGGGAAGATGAACTGAGCACCTCCAGACCAAGGTACAGGTTCTGGATGAGAGGTTCTGCCAGGGTCCAAAGAACCTGGAAACATATAAAGGCCACACAGAAGAGTCCCCGTAGGAGCAGTTTATCCTACCTCAGCTCAAAGCCCATCCATCACTGCTGCATCCTTACAGATGTAGGACAGGAAAGGAGGGATCTGAGTGCCGCTCGTAATGCTACGATCCAGGTGAACACACCCACATCAGAAACCGGATCATTTGGGTCGGGACTAAGGAACGGTGGTGGAATAGGTCTCACAATTTTCAGCGAAATACTGACAGCTACTAGCTAAGGTGTCGATGAGATTCAAACTGCAGTGGGGGAATAGCAGTCAGGACAGTGCATTAGAAGGACAAGACGAGCCAAGCAGCAGCCTGTCAGTGATGGTACGGCTGCTCCCAATTCCAGTACGGGAGGAGGTGTAGGCTTGATTAGCATTCAAGATTCAAGATTCAAGATTCTTTATTTGTCACATGTAGTTATAGCTGGTACAACGTACAGTGAAATGTGTTTCCCTGGCTGAACTCCGACTGTGCTAGACGTAGGATAAGTATATAGGTACTAACAGAGGATAAGTGTAAAAAGAGGAAAAACGAATTTATATACATCTATATACAGAAGTAAATATGCATTTACCATGTAATAAATACAGTGCCATAGGTGCAGACAAGGTAATGTGCAGATGTGCTATGAGGTGCAGATGTTTTTATAATGTACAGATGGAAGAAATTAAGTTATATTGGATTGTGTGTCGTTGTCCGTTATGTGTTGTGTGTGTAGTTGTCATTCACCAATGGCAATACTCGCCTGTTATTCACAGCAAAATGATTGGTTCACAGACCAATGAGTGATGGCAGGCTTTTTAGGATGCAAATGCAAGCAGCACATTCAGTTAAAAAGAATGGAAAAGATCTTCTGCTGGAACTGTAGCGGTCTATCCCATTACTTGCATAAATTAAGCACGAAAGCTCTTCCAACTGTTGGCTGTAACCGCAGAAAAAAAAGTGTGCTTTAATTTTTAAAACAAATTCATTATGCTCTGACCGTTTGGACTAGTGTGGTGCTGAGGTAGGTCCCACCGCATGGCTGCACTCAGGTTCTCACCCCTGAGGTGCTTTGTCGTGTGGTGGGTGCGGCAACGCGCTGTATCAGTGCGCGCTCCTCATCATATCAAAGCAAAAAAACACGGTAAATAAACAATGGTATTAAACCTTAATAATATACACACCATATCCCCAACTACTGCTCATAATGGAAAAGGGTTTTGGTTACTAGGAAAGGGGCTGGATCCACGGGAGCAATTTTCATCAGAGTTAGCATGCGTGGGCTGCTAATGCGTTAAAACAGTAAAATTACAGAAGTTTGTGCCAGTTTCCAGTACAGGAAGATTTAGAGTATCTGGGCGTTCACGAGTACAGCTTCACTTTGCTTCCAGCACTGGAATATGGGAAGAGTAACAGAGCTCACTATGCTGTTTTTTGGCACATTCTTGGTGTGTTCCTCTGAGTTTAACCCCCCCCCCCGCCCGCCCGCCCTCCTCCTATGAAGTGGCAGCGGCTCCTCACATGACAAGAGAACACGAGCATAATAAATCAGGTACAGCCCACCGGGAGACCACTGTAATCAGACACAGCCTGGCTGCTTCTTCAATTTCAATGCAGTAGTAGCCATGACCTGATTCCCCCCCCCCAGGTACTTGGAATCTCCCACCTCATCCTCATTGGTTCCCAAGGCCCTCGGGGACCATGGAACGTCCTCCAATGTTCCCCTGCAGTAGTACAAGGAACTTAGAAGGGAGTGGGAGGG